GTTGGTTTGGAGATTCAAAGAGATGAGGCCGGAAAAATCAGAAGGGGGGAAGTCGCCGCCGGAATCAAGAAGGTGGTGGTGGAAGAAACAGGGGAAGCTTTCAGAAAGAGAGCAGAAGAAATTAGCGGCGTTTTGAAAGTGACAGATGAAGAAGAGATCGACGCCTTGGCAATGGAATTAGCGAGATTGTGCCACGTCAACAAGGGGCGGGCCTAACGTTACGCGATTCGATTCTGACTTGTAGAGCCGGCGCTGCTGTTGTCTGCGCTGGGCGTCCCCCACTCTCGTCCCAGAGTGCTAAGTGGTTTTTGTTTTTACCAGTAAGAAACCCGTGTACACGTGCGTACAATTTTGTAGTTCTAAATTAAAGTAAAATAAATAGTATTTTTTAAGTTTATAATATCATCATTTTAAAGAAAGAAATTAATTATATATAATATAAATTTAATGTATAATATTCTTGTAATAAAAGAAGGGGATGAAATATTAGCATGAAAAGTAAGTACAAATTTGAAGTGTAAGAAAGATGGAAAAGCACTAACGTGCAAGTTTTTTTTTATTTTTTAATGAACGTTCTTAATTTACCTCTAGTTTTCTTGATTATAAATTATTATATTACATTATATCTTTGTTAAATTGTGTGACGTTAAGTCATTGAGTTTGTTCATTCTAGAATGAAAAATAAAGGTAAGAGTGAGAGAAAGAATAAATCCTAAAAGGTCCAACCTGATGATATTGAGAAGGATAAAAATTGTTTATTTACCCTAACTTTGTAAAAATAATTACAACATTTCACATATATAAATCAAAAGCATCGGTTTAAAAAATAAATAAATAAAAATCAAACTCATAAGCATTCTTATTATCCAAATTATGAGAATAATCGAATTTTACTTTATCTCGATTCCATCGACCACCATCTTGACACATCGTACTCTATAATTTCTTTCAACCTGAACAATGATAAATTTGGGGAAAGTGAACGATGCCATCAACTCAGCTTTAATTTGGTTTATTTTCACTATCAATTCTCCTCTCGATCACCCATATGTGCATTGTTGTCATCGTTGCTAAAGCAAGAGAGTAATTTTCATACCTTCACACCACTTGGAAAATTTTCCACTTTATTCCATCTACCACCTTTTGATTTTTGGTTGGCATGAGAAAGAGATGACACATATTGAAAGGATTGGGAGATGGTACGTGGTAGATGAAAGGAGTTAAAAAAAATCAATGAGCAAGAAAAAGTTAATGAAAGAATAATTAAGAGAGAGAAGATTACTAAGAGAAAATAGGGGAATTTAGAGGGGGATCCTGATGGAGAGAAGAGATAAATTGAAAGAGAGAAAGTTTGTATTTAAATGACACAATTGTCATCAAAAGAAAAGTGAAGAGAGTTATAATGAAAGGGCAAAAATGGTATATAGAAGTTTCTCCTCATCCCACCTTTTATATATACTATAGATATAGATAACAGACGGAAGTGTTTTGCCAACGTCTCGAATCAAGCTTACAGGCTGGCATGTCCGGCACACATATTTTGATCTTGTGTGTCCATAACTCAAAATAGGTGTATAATATATGAATTCAATATATATTTATTTAAATATCTCGACTTTTTATTTTTTCAAATACAGTGCATGTGTGACTTAAATTGGTGTATTATATATGTTTGATGGTAATGTTATTTAATTTACGTTGTTTATGTAAATGCTATTATTTTATTTTATTTTTGTGAATTAATAAATGTTAAAAGGAATATGTCAAAACGAGCATAACTCAGCGTTAATTGACATATATATAGAGATTGTGAGTTCGAATCCCCCAACACGTTGTATTAAAAAAAAAGTGTAAAGATTTTGTTAAAGATGTATCTAAGTCTCCCTCATCTAAATTTAAGGTGTATTTTTCAAAATGTCAAACTTTTCATTTACATATATTTACCTATAACATATGAGTTCTTTATAAAAAAAAAATAATAATAACAGATATGAGTGACATTCTTTTTATTAGTTTACATTAAATTCTAGTTTGAATTTAATTTTAATCATAGTATTTATACACAATTTTAAACTTTCTATTATATTTTAAAATATATATTGCATAGATGTCCGTGTTTTAAATACCTTAATTATTAACTCAAAGGATAGAGTGAATGATCCTACTATAAAAAAAAACTTTATACTCCTATAATAGGGATAATTTTCCATACTGGTAAATCACGTCAGCAGTATTTACGAATCATCTAATCTCTACCTACATTCATAAATTTTGACCTTTATAATTATTTTTTGGGTACATAATTGACCATTCTTTATAAATAATATGATTTTAGGCAAGTTGCTAGTTTTTTTTTCTTTCGAGTACAACATGTGGGTGGAGGATCAAACTCATACCCTCTTGATTGATATTTGTCAATTATTACTGAATTATGCTCATTTTAGCAGGCGGGCAGGTTGCTAATATAAGATTTAAACGGCCTAAATTGTAATTTGTCCAATTGTATTGGGTACTGGATGCTTGGGCAAATATAATCGATGGCTCGTGTACAAAGTTTACAAATCTTGAGAATAATACAATAGGTGAGCCAACATTTTTTTTGTCTTCGAATTTCTGATTGATTTGAGCCAACCTATGACGATTTTTTATGGCCTTTCTTATTATAGAGTTGAAATATTATTTTGTTGTATAGATCCCACCTTATTACTTAAATATATTTTATTTGATTAAAAATAATAATGGAAAAATCATGCTAATAAACCGTGGCGAATCCAAAAAAAGTTTCTTGAGGGGATATTTTTATACTACCCATTATATTTATGATAACTTAAAATTTATAGTATAAAATTAAAGAAAAAATCTGTAGGGGAACCCGTCGCCGATAAATATATTTGTCTGTGTGTGTTTTTTTAAATAAATATATTTGTGCGTGTGTGTTTTTTTAAATTTTGGGGTGTTGGGACCTCAATTTGACCCCATCTTCAGTCAAACTGGGGATTTCCTGATCCGTACCTATGGGAATCGGGTCATGCGAGGTTTTTTTTTGCCATCTATATATCCGAGTCTCTTGTCAATACACCAACATCTTAAGGTGCATAATTGTTATATTTATTAAAGCTATGATTCCTACCTACATATTTCAAATTAAAAAAAATATAGATTAAATTTGTAATGGTTTAAAAAATTATTAAAACGAACATACTCAGTAGTCATTGATATTTACCTTCGAAATTTAATCTCCGCACATGTTTGTACAAAAAAAATTGTTGTATTACATTCTTTGGGGCAGGCTCGGTACCTCGGATATAGGGAGCAAACCTCTACATTTATCGATGAATAAAGTCGTTTATTTTCTCTAAAACTAAACTAGATAATGCGTAAAAAATCACTTTCAAGTTCAACAATCAACTATGCATATAAATAAAACGAAAACTTTCCGGGCGGGCAATTCACTTATGTTGAGTCTTGACCGAGTCCTCTCGTCGGCCGTCTCCGGTGGAAGTGAGAAAGTGGAGGAAGAAAGTATGCATTTCTGGGTGAAAGCTTCTCCCTCCGATTTCAGTGGAACTCTTCCCAGACCTCGCAGGCATTTCTCTCTTTCTTCCTCTGCCAATTCTCTACGATTTGTTCTTACAGTAATTTTCATGGATTACTACTTCTTTGGAGTTCCAGTGGCCACTCTGCGGTCAGCATCGGGAATTCGAAGGTCGTCGTCTTTGGTGGCCTCGTCGACAAGAAATTTCTGAGCGATATTGCTGTCTTTGACATCGGTACTGTTCCTTTAATTTCCGATGCTCCTTACTCTCTCATTTACTTATTGTCCTCGGAATTGTACTGTTCTGTTACGTTCTTCCTCGCGGTTTTCTTGAATTTGTCCAGATTGTTCTTTATACTGTTACTTTCATTGTCTGATCGACCTTTTATTTTTTTTATTTTTCGGCATGGTATGGTATGGAGTTTTATTTTGCGTAATAAACGCGACTCTTTATTCGGTGGTTATGATCTTGCGATTTGTCGATGCGGTAATTCGATTTTACGGAGTTCGAAGTTAGAATATTATTGAACGGATTTTTTTACTGCGGTAGCTGTAGAGATCAGTTTAGTTGAAGTCACGATGTAAGCGATAATGAAAGAAAGAGAATCTATTCGTTAATGTAGCAACTAGGATAACGATGAATTGGTCTAATGATTTCCATACCGAAGAAAAATTTCTAAGCAAGTGTGCGATTATTTTGTTGCCTTGACAAGAGAAGAGGATGGCCAATGAAGGTTGTTCCTACTTGTTATGTAGTGAATGTCTTCATTTTACAACGGAGTTGTTTAGGAAGATGCACGAAGTTCAAAAACTAACTGTAATTCACAGGTGAAGGGATAGCATGAGACTCACATTTGACTTTGTTAACCTATACTATGCAAATACCCCGATTACTCTTTGATCAGATATTTTTATTAGTAGAAATGAATAGGTATTGGCTTCGACCATGGATTGATCAAGAATACATCTCTTGAAAAGACCTAGATGTTGGCAGGGAATTTATTAGAGGAAATAAATTTAAAAAATGGTGAACGTAATTTGTTGTGAAATTAAATCTAGGTTGCTGGATTGAGATGAAGCCACATAGTTTCAGTTCATGAAGTCTTTGTTTTGTTTGTTTACAGCCTAATATTAGAGCATTCGAATGAGTTAATTATGGTAGACTCTTACCTATGCAATCACGGTCGTTTTGCATTCATGCTAGTCAGATCCCATAGAGAGAGCAAAAATTATTATGGTTTTATTAGTTCGACTATAATCTTACTCTGATATTTATTGCAGAAAATAAAGTATGGTTTCAGCCAGAATGCACCGGCAATGGCTCAGATGAACAAGTTGGTCCCAGCCCACGAGCTTTTCACATTGCTGTTGCAATTGATTGCCACATGTTTGTTTTTGGTGGACGTTCAGGTAACAAAAGGTATTCTCTCCAAGAAGGAAAAAAGCGTAGAATGCTGGTATACTTGTGCGCCTTAGTTTGGGTGGACCGTGTAATATAGAACGAGGACATTCAATCTATATCTAAAAATTGTACTGTTATACTGACATATTGTCTACATTTTGATATTTATAATTTTCTAAATATTTAATTATCTTATTAATGTTTGAATTACTCTTTGTAAGAAAAAATAACTTTCTTTTAAAGAGAGAAACAACTTCAAGGGTATGGGAAAACGAGACATCTTCCACAGCCAAAAGTAGATGGAGACAAAAATACTCTATTGTTGGTAAGAGACCAAAAACAAGCTTGCTCTAAAACTGAATGATATTCCTATCAACCCTGAAAATACTTCTAACCAATTCCAGCCGAATTTCCTGAACTCGGGAATTACTGAACTGTTTAATTACTGTTAAAATGGTTTCCCAGTCATTTGAGGGGTTTGGGACTTGCCTGTTCTCTAGGTCTTTCCTATCCAGTCTTGTACTTCCTTCTCCCTTTTCATATTGAAGCTATTGCCATTTTCTGATTAACAACTATATTGGTCAACTATAACAGTCAATAACAGCCCCCAATTCCACCAAACTAACCACCTTCTCTTAACAACTCTGGCCCTGGTATTTGCTAACGGTTATTCATTCTCTATACATGTTTAACTTTATTAGTGATTTTTTCTATCAATTCTTTCTGCTCAAATTTTTACCTTGCCCTCAAGGTGAAATCAAGAGATTGTTGTTGAGTAACTGAAATGACTTCCATAAGCATCTACCTTGGGATGATAATGCCACCAGACCAATTCTTCTAACTCTAAGGGTGCATGTTGAGAGCAGGTCGAACTCCTAAAATGAAAGTGAGTTGGAATAATCTAGGTTTGGAAGTATACGTGAAGAGAGAGCTGACACTTCAGCAGATCATAACTAAGATGATGTAGGAAGTAAATAGCTAGTCTATTAATTTATTTTATTTAGTTAATTAGTTTAGTTCAATTTTTAATTGGAATGAATTACTTTTGAAAAAGTGAATTAGTGATTTAGGATTTATTTTGTATTGATTCATTTACATGGTTCAGAAACCCACTGCGTCATCTAGTTTATTCCTCTATGACGAGGACTTTTGATTTCTTATCAGTAAAAGAGAATTGAACTAGACATGGATTATTTTATCATATGGAATAGCTATCTTATAGTCCTCCCGATCTAGACTCTAAACTACTCACTATTCATCTAGTAATTTCCACAATACTTGTACTGATACCGGCATTGTATTTTTAGGATGGGTGATTTCTGGGTTCTAGACACTGGTAAGGTTCTCCACCGTGCTGTGAGATTTGTAATTGCTTACGTTTGAAGCTTGACTATGTTTTCTATCCTTCGACTCACTATTTAAACTTGTGTCTTCAAGATATCTGGCAGTGGTCAGAGCTAACTAGTTTTGGTGACTTGCCTTCACCAAGGGACTTTTCTGCTGCTTCTTCTTTTGGGAACCGGAAAATTGTCATGTGAGTGTAAATATTTGCATTCTTCGTTAGTGTCAATCATTTCTTTTTATATGCCAAATTCAAATGCTTAAATTGAGTGCAGGTATGGGGGCTGGGATGGTAAAAAGTGGTTGTCAGATGTATATGTCCTGGACACAAGTAACTTCCACGACTGCTGCATCTTTAGTTTCTTTTCCTTTTTCCTGTCTGTTATTTCAAAGTTCTTCCTCCTTTTGCTATTATTCTTCTTTTAAGTTTTATTGCATGATTGTTCTGTAAGTTTGTCTTTTTTGTTTTTTTGGTAAACAGTCTCGCTTGAATGGACTGAACTTTCAGTTTCTGGATCACTGCCTCCACCAAGATGTGGCCATACGGCAACTATGCTTGAGAAAAGGTTGCTCGTCTATGGTGGAAGAGGTACAATCACGTATAATACTCTCCCTACAATTGGGTTTTCTAAATGATATTTTTCTCTGTTAATTACCATCACTTGTTGAATATGTTTATGCAGGAGTGGTGGCATATAAGTACTGTGGTCTTGTGATATATAATTTTTTCCTATGTTCATAGAAATGATAAATTTGTTGAAAAGTGAATTTTGTACACAGATACAAAGAGATGGACAAAGATTCAATATGATGTTCAGTATAGCTAGTGATTTTGGAGAGGGAGATTTGATATAATAAGCGTCTGAAGCAATTGATCTATTTTTATTTTCTCATATTTGGCTGTTTAACCGGCTTGTCTTGGATCTTCCACATTAGTAACTCTTATGTTTTGTGAAATACAATGGAGACTAAACTTGGGAAGTGAAGGATTAAAAAAAAAATCTAGAACTTTTCAATTGATTGATGCTGTTGGTTTGGTTGTGGTTATAATTGAGACAAAGCTTATATATTGGGGCTTTGGCATTATTTGCTTAATCCATGCTTTGATGATATGCTTTTCTTTGATCTTCTAGTTGCAATTGTTGGACATATTATGACCATCTCTTCTTATTCTGCTGCTCAGATTCTACCACGATCCTAAGTCGTGTTATATTTTTTCTATTTGTGGTGCGTGTTGTGGTGAGGACTTGGTGGAATTTGTTTACTGTTTTTCTAGGTGGTTTACCAGGAGCATATGTAATTATTTACTGTTTACAGTTGGTGTGCCCTCGGTAGCATGCCTTCTTCTCCAACGTGAACATGGTCGAGCCTACAAATGTGACCAAGTGTGTGTCATTTTTTAGGTGATCTGTAAATGATCTCCAATGAGAACAGGGGCACTATCCCTTTGGATGATCTCCCAGGACTGGAGAACGATTCAGCCCCTGAGCCATCCCCAAGCATTAGGACATCAGGTTGCCTAAAACCCAACGTTTATCCACCTCAGTATGGTGCTCCTTTCTCCTTAGACCTCAAATGGATCAAGATGACCTCCCTATCTAGAAGAGGGTTGAAGAAAAAATCTCAGAGAGGAAGAAAGGAAGAAGCAACAGGAAACTGAGGAATCTAGTCCCCATGATGAACTGAGTGTAATTCATGCTCAAAGTGTTAGAAGGCTTTACTCAGTTCTAGGCTGGAATGCTAGGAGGAAGTGAAGATTGATTTTTGGCCTGCATTGTCATTTTCCAGGAGTCAAAGTTGGGAAGGTTGATAGATTACAATCTCTTTGTACTAGTTCTTCTGGGCGGGGGTTCCTTAGGATGTTTGTTGTGCCCTTTTTGAATATATATTTGTTTTTGGTTTCTTATCAAAAGGAAAGAAAAAAAAAAGGGAAGAAAGAAAAATCTCTATGGAGTTCTTGGATCATTGGTTGTTCTTTTGTGGAATTCCTAGGGGCTTTGAGCAACATTCTTCAGAAAAGGTTCTTTAACTTCCAACCGGCTAATGGTTTTCTTGGTGGATTTCCAAGGCATTTGTATCATGAAAGAAGCTAGTTTTAGGTAGAGAATAAAGCTCCTGTTGTTGTTAGGGCGAAAACTTTAATGCCATCATACAAAGCAGCAAGAGCTCCTCCAGTGGTAGAGTTACCTACAGCATGCGGAGATTAAATAGGACCATAGAAGACCTTTGTTGGTTGAGATCTTTCTCTTGAAGGGTAACTGCACCTGGTCCAATAAGCAAGATCAACCTGTCCTCTCCCTTCTAAATAGATTGTTTGTCGCTTATGGTTGGCGGAACAATTTTATATGCTCCATATTTCTTGAAAGTCGAGAATTCTCTTAGACCATTTTTTCATTAAGCTTGAAACAGGTGATCGAAACAGGGTCATTTGCCTTTTAAATATGAGAATATATGGTTCCACCATCTCTTCTATCCAAATTTGCTTCTTAGTGGTTGAATACCTATATCCAGAGGTAGGCTAGGTTTCTTTTCCACTATAAATTAAGGATAATTAAGAGTAATCGTAAATGTTGGAACTTTTCTGTCCTTGGGAATGTGTCTAAACTTGGTAACATGCATTTTAAGTCCTTTGGTTTAGTTTTAACCATTATTATTTTGTCGGCTAATAAAGAAGCTACAAAATATTCATTTATAAGATTTTGGCCTTTCAAGATCAAATCAAGAATCTTTCTTTTCCATGTGCACCAGGATGTCTATTAAGAACGGTGCCGGTACATTTTCAATGAACTTACTACCTTCCACATTGTAGAAATCACTACAGTTGGTTGAGAGAAATATGGCTTGCTTTTTGGTTCCAGACTGTAAAATGATGTGTGTTTAAACTGGGAATTCATTATTTTATGCTTCAAATTTTGTTAAATTGAAATTTTTTTTTGTACGACACCTTATTTATAGTTGAGAAATCTTGTGTAGCTAATAGAACTAATCAGTAATCATACTAATTAACATTTCCATCCTTGTTTCATCATTATAATTGTGGTTCTGTAAATTTGCGATTTGCTGCCAAACTAATCAGCCCTTTTGAATTGATAGGAGGTGGTGGCCCAATATTGGGTGATTTATGGGCTTTAAAAGGACTCATTGAAGAAGGTCAGTAGTTGGTTGCTTTTTTCTGTTTTTATAGTTTTTCAAGTTCTACTATTGTTTGTATGGCCATTTAGATCTTATGAGAAATTAAGTCGACTTTGAGATCTTTTAGATTTTCTGTGTCATTATTGTTTGAAAGGTAATGACATTTATCCTCTGTGCTTTACGCTTGGCTCAGATTCTGCACCCAAAAGAACCATGGATGAGTGATTGATCATTAAGATTTATGTGCTAAGATTTGATTTTCTTGCTTCCATTACGAGGACCTTCATTTTCATGGTTTCAAGGTCTGATTTCAAGTTGTGGGTCATTGATCTTCATTTTAGATATCCTACTTCTCTGTAACTTGTTTGTTTAATAAATTTTTTGTTTTCTTAATCCAAATATAAATGAGTATATGTTATTTCTTTGTTTCTCTGGTCCAACGTTATCCAGTAGATTATAGTATATTTAATAGAAGTTATTGAAGAACATGCATTCTCTGACCATTTTAAATACATGGAAGGATGAAGTACTATTAGAGTAATGTTGTGGTGTTTGCCTGCTTGGTTTGTTTGTTTGTAAATATTATGCATGAGATGAAGAAGTTCGGCTCTATGGTTTCATACGAGTGAGAAAAAAATTATTTGAGCCCCTGTATGTTCGAGTTTTTTAACCAGCTAATGAAATGTCTCGCTGTTTTGTGGTAGAGAATGAAAGCCCTGGATGGACCCAGTTGAAGCTTCCGGGTCAAGGTCCTTCTCCCCGTTGTGGCCATTCTGTTACATCTGGCGGACATTATGTAATTACATTTTCGAGAATTTTTTTTCTTTTTCACCTTTTTCATGTTTGTACTTCAATTTGAAAAGGGTGTTGTGATAGCTCAAGTTTTTAGTCCTTTAAGTGACTTCCCATTATCAGATTCATCAGAAATGAAAATAGGTAAGGGACGCTCAAGTTGTAAAGTCCTATTGGTGGCCAGGATTCCATCTTGTTCAAACTGGATTGAAGAAATAATTTTAATTGAAGTATGGAACGTTGGAGTTTCTCTTTTAGCTAATAGATTCGTTTTCAAGAAAGACAGTTTATTCAAAATGTAATAGACACAAAAGAGCAAGGTAAAGATAAGTTGTATCCTCCCTACTGTTCCAGAGATTAAAAAAAAAAGTCTCTTATTGGTATAAGAGAATAATTACAGAAGTCCATTAAACGAGAATACTTCTAAAAGTTAGAAAGATCACATCATCCTTTACGCCTGAGAATATCCTTAAAAATTCTCCAGTTAATTTCAAAGAAACTTCCAGACCAAGATATAGAGAGTTGATCCATGAATCTTCCCTCTTGCTCCTGAATTTATGATTGAATAAACGTTAGTGTAGGAAATCCTGAATATTACTCGGGCTGCATATAATTATTTCCCCACAGTTTTACTTCTACTTGATTATAACCCCCTTCTTGTCTTAACAGCTACTGTTATTTGGAGGGCACGGGACTGGTGGTTGGCTCAGTCGCTATGACGTTTATCACAATGATTGCATTGTATTGGACAGGGGTGAGTGCATTAAGACCTCCTTATGCTGCTAAAAAACAATTTCTTTTGCAAATGTTCACACATAAAGATGAACATTTCTTCTTTAGGGGGTTTCTATGGGGGTGGATAAGGTTATGAAGAAAGAGGTGAATTGTATACTCAACGATCTTTTAGAGTTTGGGACTTGCTATCCCTACTTAATATGTATGAGAAAATTCTAATGGAGAACAGGTCGTACACTATAGTAAAACCTTAAACTGGTTAAACTTTCTTGATATGGTTGATGACTATCTTTGCTTCATCTATTTAATGGCTTACAGTTCTGTCGTGATATTGCCTTCTTCTCTTTGAAATTCTCTATGAAATGCAGTAACTGCTCAGTGGAAACGGTTGCCTACTGGAAATGAAGCTCCTTCAGCACGGGCATACCATTCAATGAACTGTATTGGATCACGTTATTTGTTGTTTGGCGGCTTTGATGGGAAATCGACCTTTGGCGATCTCTGGTGGTTAGTTACTGAAGGTATTTAATTTATTTTTGGAAAGGTAGTTAAATGGATCTTGTCTGCAATGTTCCTTTATTGAAACGTTTGAAGTTTTATCACTTTTATGCACGTGTATTTTCCATTACTATATTTTGATAGTGAACCTATCAGAGCTCTCTCCAACTTGACCTGTAAATAGTGAGAGTCAGCCATTACAATTTTTTTTTAATATATATAGTGTTTTGCTGTTCGTTCTTTCTTCTTCTTTTTTCGAGTATTGTTTTTCTGCTCTTAAGTTTTGCCTTATAATTATACCTTAGTTGGTTATTGTAGCCTTTTGATAATTATCAGCTTATGGATGACTCTTCTTTTGTAGTTCTTTGGGTGGGGTTCCCTCTACCCCTAGACCCTAAGCTGATCTTTTTGCTTTTATGCCCCTCTTATAAATATACGTCTTTGTTTCTTATAAAAAGAAAAAACAAAACTTACATGGTCTTTTAATTTGTAATCTTGCCCCCTCTGCTTATCGAGAGAAAAAATGGTTTAAGTGTTCCTTTGAATTGGAGAGGTACTTGTGAAATAGTGCATAATTGATGATTCTGTAATTTTTTTGTTGACTTATTAGTTTAATAGTCCTTATGAAGTATTTTACGCCTTACAGAGGACCCCATTGTGAAGAGGTTGTTTTCCTCATCAACTGACAATCTCCCTCAAAATACAGATGAGACATCGTTGAATGAAGGTTCCAAGTCGGCACGGGAGGTATTGGTACAAAGCCTCTCAACTTATGAATAGTGAAAACATAGCCTTTTTGCATTTAGTTCTAGTAGGTTCGTTTGCAAGATCGGTTAGGTGGAAACATAACACTTCAATTATTAAAGAGAAAACTTACAGAGATAACAAGAGGATTCTTCCTCTTTGCTAAGATAGAGAATTACGAAAAGGACACCATTTATGAAAACGGATAGCAAAGAGAATAAGCCAAAATTCTTGTTTTTTTCTCTGATAATCTTAACCATCATCCTGTCCAACCATTATCAATATGTTCATATTCTACTCAAAATCATCTGTAGTATATTTTGTCCTCAAAAACCTTAAAATATTTAAAGTTGCAACTTCGATAATATCTTCCTCTTTCTGGGTGCTCTCCCAAAAGTTCTCCTGCATAGTAAAGACCTAGTTAGAATGAACCTCCTCAATGCACTGAACTCACGAGGAAGCCTATACCCCAAACTTCTTGAAAAATCAGAATTGAGAAAACTCAGTGATGATGGTCTGGTCACTATTACAAATGAAAAATGTTTTAAACTACATCAAAACATGTAAAGTTCAAGGGATATGTGATTGGTTTTGCTTATTGTTTGTAGCCTTGATGAATTACTCTATTGTTTTTACTGATATGAATTCCCCACCCCCACCCCACCCCGGCCCCCTCTTTTTTGTTAG